TGGTTTAAAGTCCAAAAACAGAAAACATACAAAGCATTTTTCTCATATTTGTTAAAAGTCATTATGACTTGTCAGTAGTGCATGATAAGGATGCTTAGCAGAAGAAAAAAAAAATCGGCAGTTCTGGCCCCATCTTTTGCCAATCAGGGGCGGAACTACATGGTGGCCAGGAGTGGCTAAGGCCACCCCTTGTCAATCTCTGGCCAACCAAAGCCAAGGGGGAAATTTTATGTTTGTGCTCTTTCAGCTCTTATCACCATTAACTCATTCAGTACCAGCCATTTTCAGACCCGTTTAAAAAAAAAAAAAAAAGACTTTCAGTCTTGGAAAAAAAAAAAGCTCGGAAAAAAGTACATGGGATTGAATGTGTGAAGTCCGAAAAGACATTAATATGTCTTTGGGAGTGAATGAGTTAAGAAGGATCCATAACCCTCTTGATACTTTGCTACAAGATATTTGTATTAACTGAGCCATTGATCGCAGCACGCAAAACGGTATCGGCCGTCGGCGATAATTGATCACTCTGATGTTGGTGTTAGCTAGCGAATCAGTGGATAAGTAGCGCATAGCATAGTAGACAAAAAACAAAGCAAGAGCAAAGTATTTGGCACTATCTCATAAATTAATGAAAGCCTGACTGTGTATGGTATGATCATGACATGTTGACATGTTACTGAGTTGTACAAATTGTGTTGATTTTGCAAGAAACAACTCTACAGTCACCAGCGTGAAATGGTTTTGACAGTTCAACGAATATATCATATAAACGTTCTTGGGTTTTTTTTTTCTCAAAACAAACTGGTAACATCCTCGGTTGAGTTATGCAAGGGATTGTCATCATATATGTCTCTTGCTTGGAAGGTTGGACTGACCACTAAGTTTTTTTTTTTTTTTGTCACCTTTTGCGTTTTCTGACATTCATGGAATAATTTGCTTTTGTTCTATGCCTTTTTTATCTTGTAAATGCATTTGTGTTGCAAGCGCTGACGCCTGTGGATTAACGATTGGAATCTGGTCTTTCTTTCTCACATCATGCGAATAAGATTTAGGGGAGGAGTTGGAATATATAAGGGATCAACATTGCTGGAATACTTATGTCCACTATTTGACATAGTGCTAAAAAAAAAAAAAAAACCTTCCCTTTGACAATCCGTATTTTCTACAGCATACTAAACAACAATACGTGAAAGCACAAAATACGGGCCTTTGATTTCCAGTGAGATTTGCCAATGCGCACACATGGGAATGTCATTTTCAATGCATGTACTGTTGCACATAAAAAGATAAAAAATTTGACTTCGAGCAAGAGAATTGGGTACACACGGGATTATTATTGTTATTTTCTTCAATATTTTAGAGTTTCTGTTTGCGGAGGGGCGGGGGTTGTCAATGAAATGAAATGTATGTAGATTAACTTCTGCGCTTGGTACCAGATCAAAGTTACCACTGTACAGTAAAAATTAGAAGTACGGGTAGAGTAATTTGCTGTATATTTTAAGCTTTAAAAGTATTTTATTGTGAAATGTCAAACCGGATGCCTCTTTTTTTTTTCGTTTTTAGGGACCGTTCTTTCCTTAATGAACTGCTAATTTTACTTTGAAAATCTGACAGGAAATGTTACGCGTGCATGTTGTCTGGACAAAAAGTTAACTATGGGTACGTGGTAGGTAACGCATCCAGGGGCATTTTGTTTGCTAAGCCAGTATTGTGATCGTCGCATCCGGAGGCCTGCTGCTCATGATCGAGAAAGGAATGCTAAGCGGCGTCGAGACGCCTCCGCCCCGGGGAAGCAGGAGACTGGCTGTCGGCCGGCACATCGGCCAACCGGAGCGGGCGACGGAGGACGTGGAGTCGCAGGTAAGGGCTGGAGCCCATCCGCGGGGATCGGGACAATTTGTACACTTCTGCTCGCTCGTGAGTGGTGGTATTATTAGATAGTGCTACATAAGCACAGATGGCTAAAGTTAAAAAAATATTGATCAATAGGGTAAAGGCAGATGTAGTCGTTCGACTACCTTAGTCGCAAAGTACAGACATGAAAGTACAAAAGTAAAAAATCATGTGCAAAATCAGATGTGGCAAAAGTAGTCACACTCTGAACTCCACGTATAAACACAGTTGTGTAAAAAAACTAACAAACAAAAAAAAAACAGTTGGAAGCACTGCTTCAACTCCTGTAACTTACTGGAAGTAAAAAAAAGTCAACTGTGAAATTTCAAGTAAAAATAGATTTTATATGCAATTCGGCATAGTACCAGAGCTGACAAAAGTACTCACATGTATTGAACTCGGAGTACAGATGAGTAATAATATATTTTACTGTCAGTTATAACAATGCCCGTTTTGATAACTTGACATTTTTGTCTTGCATCTATTCAGAATTTGCACAGTTCTCAGTGAAACGAAATGAATCCACTGGATACTGTCAAAACATATTCTCATACCTTTGGTTAACAAACTAATTCTAAGCTGAACCGTTGAAAATTTTAAAAAGCCGTTGAAAATTGAAAAAATATGGAAATCCTTGCAATTTCCTTTTTTTTTTTTATTTTTTTTTTTAAAAAGCTGGCTACGACTACTGCCAGTCTTACCGCAAGCATTTTTGCAACTCCCAAGCTCTGCCCACATCTAATAACAAAAGCCGTAGTCGGTATCGGTGCCAGAGGAGAGGTCAGTGACATCCAATATCCAAAATAACAGCATGCAATGGTGCATGCAATCTAATAACGCGAAACAGGAACAATATTAACAAAATAGATGTTGGTTAGAAAATGTGTGCATATTGCGACCAGATGTGTTTTGCAAGCCAAAAGTTGTCTGAAACAAGTTTTGCTGTGCCCAACCAGAGGATGGAAAAATGCTCATATTATCACGGACCAGCACTCTGAGGACAACTTGGAAATCTTATTGGTTTTTGAAACATAGTTCAAGTTACACTGGCCAGCGCTCCAGATTGTGAAGGTCCTGGGCAGAATTAGATTGACATGGCAACACAGAGGTTGAAATCTGATTTCCGCCCCCCCCCAAAATTTCCACCTAAAAACACTGTGGCCAGCAGATAGCAGCATTGGGTCTCTTTTTGATGAGCTCACCATGTACCAAAGCAATGTGGATGCTTGTGAACATGGCAGACATCTTGAAATTTGAAAGGTTACAAGCAGTTTGTGATTGACCCAAGTGGTTGTCACGTTAAATCTACCACCAAGAGTGTCATAAAAGAGAGTAAAGATGGCGGTTTTTATTTCAATTTAGTAAGTAATGACGTGTATGTGCATACATCACACGCACACACGACTAAATACTACTACTGCTAAATAGCGTACAATTAGTTTGTTTCGTTGTTGGTATTTAACAAAAGCAGTGTTCAACATTTTTTTTTTTTAAATCTACCACCAAGAGTGTCATAAAAGAGAGTAAAGATGGCGGTTTTTATTTCAATTTAGTAAGTAATGACGTGTATGTGCATACATCACACGCACACACGACTAAATACTACTACTGCTAAATAGCGTACAATTAGTTTGTTTCGTTGTTGGTATTTAACAAAAGCAGTGTTCAACATTTTTTTTTTTTGTGATGAGTTTGTAGTTTCAATGTTAACGAAGATCTGTCAGAATGCTTTAAATTGGTTGGCACTCAAATTTTTTTTCTTCTAATGGCTGGCATGGAAAGAAAATAGACTGCTTGGAATAAGTAACATGGAAGTCAAAAATGCTCACCCGAGATCCGTGTTGTTCAGATCCTCCAGGACATCCGAAACCGGACCATGACGTCCATGTGCAGCCAGAAGAACATGCCGCGCAGCCTGTGGTCGCTGACGCCGCAGCAGAGGAAGACGCTGCTGCAGCACGTGCTGGTCAACGACGAGTACCGCTTCCTGTACTGCTACGTGCCCAAGGTGGCCTGCTCCAATTGGAAACGCGTGCTGAAGGTGCTGGGCGGCGCCTTGGAGAGCGTGGACGTCAAGATCAAGATGGACCATCGCAGCGACTTGACTTTTCTGTCCTCGCTCAAGCCGGAGGGGATCCGCTACCGGCTGCAGCACTACTTCAAGTTCATGTTCGTGCGTGAGCCCATGGAGCGCCTGCTCTCCGCCTACAGGAACAAGTTCGGCGAGATCGAGTCGTACCAGCGCAAGTACGGCGCCGAGATCGTCAAGCGCTACCGCAAGAGCCGCGGCGGCAAGGGCTCGCGCGTCGCCGGCGACGACGTCACGTTCGCGGAGTTCGTCCGCTACCTTCTGGACGAGGACGTGGAGCGGATGAACGAGCACTGGATTTTCACGAGGAGTGCAGGACTGGCGCGAGGCGCGACGTACAGCTGCGCAGGGGTGTGCTAGACCGGGTTCGGGTATTTTCACAGAGGCACGAAGCTTGGCGCAGAAAATAAAACCGTTTGGCGATGTGTGCGTGTGTTCAAAACGAACTGGAAGGAGATCTCCACGGTGCGGATGATTCAAAGTTGGCCAGGGAGATCACAGATCAGTGAAATGGGCACTTGGGAGACGAGCGCATTCTACCCCAATTCTTGGTGGCTATGTTTGCATTTTTGACTTGATATTCGCTGACAAACATTAAGACGCGGCTGTACACGTTCTTACGTGTCACACTCGTGCAGCCTAAATTTTGGCTGAGTTGTTCCGAGATCAAATATTTATTTCACCCCACATTAACGCATATTTTGACTGATGTTCTGTCTATTACCCTAATCAGTAAACAACCACAAAAATGAGACTGTTCATGCAAACATTGCCTGTACAGCCAATAAATATTTTCTGTTGTTGAAAAGTTTGAGCCTAGGAACTTACTTGACATCATTTCCGATGAGAAGTCAATCGGCGTCTGCGCAATTGCAATCGACGTCAGCGGTTCCGTTGTTAAGACGTTGACGATATCGCTTCGTTCGTGATGGTGACATCGCGTCAGCGTACAGGTTTTTAGTCCTATGCGGTTCAACATGTAAACATTTAAAAGATGGGAGCGCTCATGTAGGCTGGGAAAATTGAAAAATAAATATATACATAAAAAGGAACTCCGTGATAAATAGATCAAGCGCTAAAAAAATGCCCTGGCGTCTACGGCAATTATTTGACTCCAAAGCCAAGTCCTCATAGACGGAGCTCCTGCCGTCTTATCTAAGAAGCCAAAAAACAGTCACCGACAATGAAGACAGTTTACGGCCTCATTACAAGTCCGGTAAGGGCCTCATTAAAAGTCCGGTAAGAGAGGGCTCCTCTTATGTCGTGCGCTCCAGTCAGCAGCTCGAAAGCATCATTTTTGGAAGGCAGTCTAGTGGGCGGTCCTCACTGCAAGTCAGTCCCTGAAGCTCACGTGTCTGAAAGGATGACAAGATACCAGAAGGGTTAGAATTGTTTTGTTTTTTTCACTGAAGTTAGTTTTCGTTTTGACTTGTTTTTGTGATTGAGTTTGGTTTAATGAGTTTCTAGAGCATGCTTGTTGCTGGACTTTAGTTTTTATTAATTTTAGATTTAGCTTTAGTTTGTTTTTTTTTAAATACATGCAGTATTTGAGTGTTAGATTTTATTATTTTTTTAAAGGTGACTAAATAGTGTGTTGTCAAGTAAATACTATTCTCAAATGACTGTTTGACCTTCCTTCTGTATGGATGTAGAGCAATACCGGGTCTAGTGGGCGGTCCTCACTACAAGTCAGTCCCTGAAGCTCACATGCCTGAAAGGATGACAAGATACCAGAAGGGTTAGAATTGTTTTTGTTTTTTTTTTCACTGTAGGTAAGTTTTCGACTTATTTTTGTAATTAGGTTTAATGAGTTTTTAGAGCATGTTTGTTAGTTGTTTTCCCCCCCCGCTGAATCTGCTTCACTTTAGTTTTTATTAATTTTAGATTTAGCTTTAGTTTTTTTTTTAAATACATGCAGTATTTGTTGAGTGTCAGATTAAAAAAAAAGGTGACTAAATAGTGTGTTGTCAAGTAAATACTATTCTCAAATGACTGTTTGACCTTCCTTCTGTATGGATGTAGAGCAATACCGACAATAAATACATACATACATTTAAAATGGATCCCAAAAATCTCATGTATAATATTAACAAAGACAAAAAAAAGTGTATTTTCCCTATAATTATAGTTAGATTTCTTTTTTTTTTTTAAGCCTTTTTGCATTCACTTATTTTTGTAATTAGGTTTAATGAGTTTTTAGAGCATGTTTGTTAGTTGTTTTCCCCCCCCGCTGAATCTGCTTCACTTTAGTTTTTATTAATTTTAGATTTAGCTTTAGTTTTTTTTTTAAATACATGCAGTATTTGTTGAGTGTCAGATTAAAAAAAAAGGTGACTAAATAGTGTGTTGTCAAGTAAATACTATTCTCAAATGACTGTTTGACCTTCCTTCTGTATGGATGTAGAGCAATACCGACAATAAATACATACATACATTTAAAATGGATCCCAAAAATCTCATGTATAATATTAACAAAGACAAAAAAAAGTGTATTTTCCCTATAATTATAGTTAGATTTCTTTTTTTTTTTTAAGCCTTTTTGCATTCACTTAATTTCATTAACAACGTTTTTTTTTTCCTTCAATTTTTAGTTTTTGCAAACAATTATAACTTTAGATACCAGAAAAGCCTGTTGGACGAGTTGGCGAATCGTTAGTTTTTTTTTTAAATACATGCAGTATTTGTTGAGTGTCAGATTAAAAAAAAAGGTGACTAAATAGTGTGTTGTCAAGTAAATACTATTCTCAAATGACTGTTTGACCTTCCTTCTGTATGGATGTAGAGCAATACCGACAATAAATACATCCATACATACATTTAAAATGGATCCCAAAAAGCTCATGTATGATATTGACAAAGACAAAAAAAAGTGTATTTTCCCTATAATTATAGTTCGATTTCTTTTTTTTTTTTAAGCCTTTTCGCCTTCACTTAATTTCATTAACAACAATGTTTGTTTTTTTTCTTCAATTTTTAATTTTTGCGAACAATTATAACTTAAGCTACCAGAAAAGCCTGTTGGACGAGTTGGCGAATCGTCGACATACCCCCAGTTTGTACATAGGTAAGTAAAATGGACAACAAAATGATTTGTGTTTGGCTATATGTCCTCAGGATGCGCCATTTGCACACTAATTCACAAGTTTCAACTCAGCAGTTTGCAGATGAAGTGCTGCCTCCACAAGTGAAAATACGATCCACGCATTTACTGGGCATGTGCTTTTTTTTTTTTTTTTTTTTCCGCACGATCTGAGTTTAGCTTCCTGGTGGCCGTCATTAATGAAAGCCGTACTCAACATGGAGGAAGGTGCGTGTACAGCGGCTTATTTGCATTCCACAGGCTAATTTCAGCAAAGCCGAAAAGAGTATGTGTGCGCTGTAATTTGATCTTCTATTATTTTGACAGAGTCGCACAAACACACCTGTTTTAAAATGTGTATGGGGGGAGTGGGGGGGGGGGACAATATATCTCCTTGATGTGTTACGACGGGGACCGCGTGAAAGGTATCAGCCTCGCGACTCACTGCTCCCCGGTCGATCTAGCGTTTGTTCGGTTGTTCATCTCCATCTGTCGCTGCGGCGCTTGAGGATTGGCCACCTCGCTCGCACGGTTGCAGTCGCCGCTGCACAAAGACCAAAACGTTAGCGGCAATTTTAAAATGAACCGTTTTCGTGACGAAGATGGATTACAGCAGTCGAAAAGGTGAAGTATGTTAACGTTCTTGTCCATTATAGGAGAGGTGTCCAAACTACAACATGGGGGCGCGAGCATTCGCGGCCCGCCATCGATCTTTCAGCGGCCCGAGGCATATTCGAAAAATGACATTTGAGACGGCCTGCAAGGCTGGTTAAAAAAAAAAAAAAAAAAAAAGGGTGGAGGTGGACGGAGTGAAAAGGAAATAATAAATTCATTTTGATATTGTCGCGCTTTCCCAGATTTGTAAAAGAATATACAAATACCCTCCTCCCAAAAAGTTCGGGATATTCAGCGACCAAAAGAGTTTGCCTTACGTCATGTTCTCCGCTGGGGCGGTGAGCCTGTCTCGCAGCGCCCTCAGCTTGGCCTCCCTGTCGCTGACCTTCTGTAGAGCGGCGGCGAGCAGCGTCTCGAGGTTGCGCACGGTCGCCTTCTCACTCTCCAGTTGCTTTTTAACCTGGAGAACAAACAGAATTAGACTGCCATGTTTATTTGAACTCACTGAAGAATAACTGCGCTTATTAATCGTGATTTCTATATCACATAATCAATTTTTTATTTTTATTTTTTTTGCAAAATTGCGCAGCCGTGCCCACCAGGTCGAGCTCGATGCTTTTGGACGTAAGGGCACACGCGGCGAGCTCCTTGTCCGTGTCCAGTCTAGCGCAGAGCTCCCGGATGCAGGACAGGTCGGAGAGGAGAGCGGCCGGCCCATCCTGGGCTTTGCGCAGCTCAACGCCAATGGCGGCGATCAGGTCCTCCACCTGCTGCAGCCTCCGCTCCCGCTCTTGCAGGTCCGATTGGGCCGCTCGCAGGTGCGCCATCAGCTCGAAATTCTCCTGATCCTGTGGTTGACACGTCAAAATCAGCTGACACCCCAGCGGATTCATTTCTCTTTTAAGGCCTGCTTAGTTGAGTAATGAATCACTTTGAGGTCTTCAAAATTCTGACTTCAATACTGTTCCGGCAGGAAATATGTCAGGACCGGTACTGAAAAGGAGACTTTGGGGGAAAAAAACTGAAACATCAGTCAAAGTAGTCGAGTGTGAATTATAATTCCGATGTGAGTGGAGCACGGTCTATAAAGTTTGAGGATCATTTTAAGTATTTGCCATGAAATGGGGGACCCACCTTTAATTTTCCTCACCTTTGTCCTCAGCAGGTCCTCGACCCTGTACATTGCGTTGGCGTAAGAGTGCACGCTCAGCTTGAGCTCGTCCCGCTCGCGCAGGACCACCTCCATCCCAGCGTGCGCAGCCTTGAGGAGAGAAAATACAACTTGGTGTTATGGCCCCCGACACCTCAAAAAATGAAGACATAAATAAACAGAAGCAAGAAAAATAATCCACAGATGATTATTATTACTTGCTTCTCTTTGGTCAGTGCGGTCAGGTCATCTTGCAACCTCATGTTCTCTCTAACAATGCTTTCTTGGGGGTCATGCGGCCGTTGCGGCAGGGCGGCGAGATCCCTCTCCTGGCTTTTTGGCAAACCTTGCAGTTGACTGAAACAGAAAAACAAAGATACAAACATTTAAACAACTTTACTGGAGATAGAAAAAGTCTCCACCAGAGTTAAATTGAAAACTATTCACGCCACGGCAAATGTTTTCAGTGATATAAATCCTTGAATAAACTTCCGAGTGTCACGGCATCTTATTTGAAAAACAAACCTTGGCGCGTGTGCTGCTTTCCTCCGCTTTGTTGCAGCCGCCGCCGCCTCCTCCTTCTCTGCGTCCTGAAGCCGCTCGGCAGGCTGATAGTCCCACCGCGGCTCCGCATTCCACTTGGCGTCCCTCAGCAGTGAGAGCTGTGAACGCAACTCCAGCCTCTCTCGCTCCAGCTTCAACACAGAACACACACACATCAATCGGCAAGCGTTGATGGGCATTTCCATGCTAGCCATAAAAGGCATCAAATCGCATCTGATTGGACACTTTTCCTCTTTTCGGCACAACTGGGACACTTCTGCGGTAGATGAGTGTTCGCCGGTCAACTCCAACCATGACGAGTAAGACATTTTGGGTGTTTTACAAGGGCTCAAATGTGTTGAAACAATCAGACTTACGTTCTGGACGGCATTTTCCAGGTCAATAATCCGATCCAATCCGATTATAGTACCTGAATTCGTCTCTTGAGACTCCTGAAAATACAAAAACACAACAGGCGGGGCGAGTTCTTGAGGTTGATCCATATTATTAAATGACTGGCGAGTTTTTATTCTGAAGTTTTGAACACAACGTAGACAGGATCTCACCGCTCTCATTTTTACAAGGTTATCCTCTAAATCTTTAATGACTTCCTGTTGACTTATAATGACCTCCTGTGGAGAAAAGTGAGGACAAAAACCAAACACTTAGTTTGTAACATACAGAATTTTCATCATCTTTTTCTTTTTCCTCACTTTGGAAGCGGACAAGTTCCGGTAAGCGATATCCAGAACTCGCTTCTTGTCCATCTTGGTCTGCTTGATCATGTTGTTCTTTTGCGTCAGCTCTCGACACAGTTCAATGTTCTTCAGGGAGAGGTCGGCCACTTCGGCGGAGGACTTGTTCTGTAGTGCCTCCAGCTTCTGCTCCAGCGTCCTGTTGCTCTCTTGCAGATACTCAATCTGTGTTGATGAAATCATTTGCAAAGTATTCGGGATCATTGAAACGAGCAGTGATTGGTGTACCAAAAAAATAATATTTAAACCCCCCCTCCTTAAAAAAAAACATGAAAAGGAATACAGTTTTTTTTTAAGTTAAAAAAAATCTACAGGAATAATTTTTTTAGAATATATTAACTTTTTTTGTAAAGAATAAAGGTGTATTTTCTGGAATAAAAATTGTGATTATTAAATTTACTTTTTAAATTGTCAGGTTTATATTACAATTTAACCTTGGAAAAATATGACCATAAGATGTATTGGACCCGCACTATACATGGCAATTGGGAGCAGACCGGGCCACGAACAGAGAAAATCTTGAGTATAATTGACAGCTATTGAAAATTAAATGTTTTTGGAAACTGCCCCAAAATAATAATTTTATATATATATATATATTTTTTTTTTTTTCATTTAAATTTTTTTCGAACGCAAAAGATGTGCCTTGGCTCAAGAAAGGCTGATCTAGATTTGGCCACGAGTGTTATGAGCAGTAAGAAGACGCTGCGATTTTTTTTTCAGGCTTCTCCCATTTTAAAAATCAGTTCAGCAAGACGTCAAAAAGCAATCCGCGTGCACCACACTTTACCTGAAGGGTAAGGTAGGCAATCAGTTTCTTATTGGCGTTGTTCTGAGCATCCAAAGAGATGGTATCACGAGGTCCATGAAGTGCATGATTCAGATTATCAATCTTTTTGTCCCTCTCGGCCACCTACAACAAGTGTTTGTTTGGGGAGGACTCAGTGACAACATGAACACTCGTACAACCAGTAGCTTTAACTTACTTGAATAAGTAAGAGTTTTATACACCCGTGGGCATTGTCCAGGTCAGATTTGACTTTGCTGACGTCTTCCTGCAACCCGAGAAGCCTACAAAAATAAAATGGCAAAGAAATCAAGCGGGTGCTGGACAAAATCGGCATACAGTGGAACCTCAATGTTATTCTTTAAATTCTATTTAATAAATATACAATGAATATTTGTCATTTGTACATTCTTTTTCCTAGTGTTGTATTTTGTTCAAGTATTTGTATACATGTATTTTTATACTGCATGGCATAGTAATATTTAATACATTGGAATTTTTTGTAAAAATATTTGTGGATTTGTCATTCAATAGTTGTGCTGCTTGGTCAAATCAATTGGTGTGTATGTGTGTGTGTGTAATGGGTATTATATTTGTTCAGTTTGAACTTTTTTTTTTTTTTGCAGGGAACGCATGGAATTGGGGTCAGAACCCATTAAACAAGAAACACTTTGGATTCTCATCAAACCTTCCATCAGCCACCGGGTGTCGTTCATCTCCATATGAATGATCAGGCGATTTGGGTGGAGGCTGATTCGGAGCGGGTATGACTTCATGGGTCTGCATTCTCTGTGGCATCTGAAAGCAATACCGAGCTGGTTTCCACATGACAAAAAAAATGTGACAGGTACATCATGCGGTTTATTGACGTTTCATCCATTCATTTAATGTTCGATGAAGACATAGTACATCCATTTGCTCTTTTTTTTGGAGCAAGATAAGCCGTTTCAAAGACTTGGGGAAATCATCATTTAAAAAAGTAGTAAGAAAGTTATTTCGCAACTAAATCAGTGTGTCCAAACAACACCACATCTGCCATTTGTGACCCGCCTTCAATTTTTAACCCCTACTAGAATCTCTGCCTTGTTTTCTGACAAACACTTAGGCTGACTACTCTACGGTATTTAATGTCATGTTGGTGATACTCGGGAGTCAAGAGTACTCCCCAAAAATGTAGGTAACACTTGGTGTGAATAGATGATAACCCCACGATATTACAAATTACAGTTTGTGCATAAAAGAGCAGATCTCAAACTCCAAGCCCCAGAAAGTAAAACAACATGGTTTGCATGGTTGTGTATCATCAAATTAATAAATTGGAGAGCATTTTAATTGTACCTCTGGTGACATAGGCCTGCTGCCACTTCACAATATTTTCTTCCCCGGCCGGTTGAGGCTGCCCCCTCCCGTTCGGTGACAGCGCAGCGACATCACTGCTTTTCTCTGGATTTCTCCGGATTCCCAGTTGACAGTTCCGAAAGTGGACTTGAGTGTATTCCAGCCCAGGCCGCCCCCCGCTACTTTCCATTAACAGCGCCGCCGTCCAGTGACGAAAATACACAGTCAACGTCACGCTAAATAGTTAAGAATATATATACATTTTGACACTAACAGGCCACATGAAGAAAAAACTAAAGCGATAATGTTAGCCCGCAGATAAAACGTTGGCAAATGTTTACGGCCAGCGTAGCGCAACGTCATCGGCTAACTCGCATAATTAAACTGGCCAGCCAGCGATTCTAATAATGTGACGGGCAGGCGGTCTTGTACCGTGAAACCACTTTCGATTTTTTTTTTCAGTACACGATGTTTGACCATGATTCATTAAAACTGTCAAATGTATTTACAAAAATCACGAAGGTATTCATGACCAAGTCTTTGATCCCATGTTATGTAAAGCGTCATAAAGACAAGTCGTCATTGTTTTTTTTTTTTTCAAACTAAATTTTCACAGCAGAAGCATTAGCACAATGGTCCTACCAATATGGGTCCAAACTTGGATAAACGAATCAGTACTTTTTTGTAAAGTCGAGTACACCCATTTAGATTGATAGTGTTTTGTTAACAGCGGGTGTCAGGTTGTCACACAAGTGATTGACAACTGTTGACCCACAAAAAAAAAAAAAAAAAAAGAGAAACGTGTCTGGGGTTGCGCTACAATATATACCCCAATTTTTTTTCTTCTTTCAACAAACGAATCGGAATCTATGGGTGAGGTGGATACATCAGATAGATGAACTTTACAAAAAGTAGTAGCCGCTTCTAAAAGGAAAGACTTGGAACCAGCCTTTCCTCACAGCCGGTACGTATGAAATATTTGTTTGGGTTGTCTTGAGTAATTTTGCAAAACATAATGGGTGGCCTGCTTTTTTTTTTTTTTTAATCATTTATCATTTAATCTTTCTGTCAAACTGTTAATTACGGCTGTCCTTCTGTTTCACTTCCAAACAAGTTTCATCGTGAAGTGTAATCTTTTCGAATGACACTTTATGCATTCAAATTGTGTTGGTAAAGAAGGTTCAATTTGTCACTCAAGCCATGTGCAATCGCTGGGTCTTACGACATGTATGGGTGTATTTGGGCAGAAGAGCGCCATGGATATCAGCAAAGATAAGAAATGGTCCAAGCTGAGGGGTCGCCTGCACATGCTGGGCTACAATCACAATCTTGGAGAAGAGTCTGTGCCACTTGTTGAGCAACTTTTCAGGTGCAACTGTCATTTCTCCCTTCTTGTCATTGTGTGTAAGTTGAACCCACGTTCTTTGTAGGCTTTTGGGAGGAAGATATGAAAAAAAATCTTAAAAAAAAAAGTAAAGATAATAAATGTCCCCCTCCCCAAAGAATGTTTCTAATTGTTTGTATAAATATTTTCAAAACCTGAATACAGCGAACCCCTGCCTGTTCACGGTTAAGTATTCATGAATTCACCTATTCACGTTGTTCTCTGTGGAAACTATCCGCGGCTTTCACTTGAAAATCTCACCTACTTGGCCTATTTTTTAATGCTATGCCGTGTAATGCCATACAACGCCACAAGATGGCAGCAAATCCCTCCCTAATTGGAAAGCAGTAATTGTTGACATGGAATTGAAGTTATCCACCTTTATTGAACGAGTAGGATACGTTGGTATTTTTATTGTTTGTGACAGATGCTCACTTTCATCGCATTTTTCCACCTCAAATCATCGGTATATTCTTGATGCAGCGATTTGGTCCACACCACCGAAAGCCTGCACGAATCCCAACGATCAACGGACAAATCGGAGAAAGAAAGTCAAAACAGTGATGTCCGCCTGGTCAGGGAGAACCAAGAGCTTCACCTTGAGCTCATGACGGTGAAGGGCGAGAAAGCCAACGTGACCAGAGGTAAGAGTCATGTCAGGGTGTGACCATAATCAAGCGTGGCGGTGACTCGGCAAAACGTCTTGTTTCTCGTTCCAGAGCTGAAGGTCTACATCACCAAACTGGACAATGACCTTGCTTTGCTGAAGTCTTTGAACAAGCAATATTTGCAAGAGATGCACAGCCTGGAGAAGGACTGCAAAGAAAAGGCCAGGCTCATCCGTCAACTGCGTCGAAAAAATTTGAACAGTTGGGTGCAGGCGGTGGGTAAGTAGGTCTCTGGGTTGCGGTGTTTGAGCAGAAGACACATCCGAGTTCTGTAATTGCAATCCAAACATAACCTTTCACCTCACGGGATTCACGCTTGTCAGAGGAAATAAATGAAAACACAATTGGCTGCATCGACGACATGACTGAATTAAATCGATCTCAAGTCCAGTGTGTGTTGCCTGTTCTGTCCTTCCTTAGATGCAAACAAGTCCCCACCTGATGATCCGGAAGCAGCTGATCTGCAGCAGGCGGAACTTACAAGAATAAAAACCGAGCTGGAAAATTCTCAAGGGCACATACAACACTTAAATAACCAAGTCAGTCGGTCAGAGACGCTGGCGGTTTTCTTGTCCAGAGATTCAGTTTCCAACTTTCTTTGCGTGTTGGCACGTGTCGCCCATACACAGATTGATGAACTGCAGGAGACCAACGTCACACTGGAGCAGAAGCTCAAGGGAGTGCAGCACAAGTCCTCCGGCAAAGTGGCTGAGCTCACCTCAAAGAACCACGAACTGTGTCAAGAGATCACGGACATCCGCAACCTAGCCAAGTTGGTGGAGCTGGAAAAGAAGCAAAAGCTCCAAAAGGCCGAAATGAAATTGCAAGACCTTCAGGTGAGAACGAACCGAGTTCACTTCGATCACTTCTGAGAGAAACAACAAGGAGTGAAGATATTTTTTTCCTTCCATCCACCAACAGGACATCATCCGAAAGCTCCAAGGAGTCATTAAAGATTTGGAGGATCAGCTGAGTAAAAAAAGAATGGTGAGGACTGCCTGGTACGTACTCAGGTAATCCTCACCCACTGCCCTTTTCACTCCTGATTCCCGATTGCAGACTTCGGATCTACCAGATGAACAAGAGTCGAGGACTGCCGACCGACAGAACAACACTCGCAATGTCAGTAAGGCAATATTGAAAACGCAGTCACCAAGAAACAGGCTTTGGTCTTCTTTAAACAGTCTTGCTGTTTTTGTCTTTATTTTTTTGGGCAGGGATTTGCATCTCAGGAAGCTTCAGACCAGGAGTTTGTCAAATCCCAACTTGGAGATCAGTTACGGGATCTAAGAGAGCAAAATGAAAAATTTGAGGCGATGGTGGCGTTCCTGGCGGCAGAGAAAAGCAGACTGCAGGACAAAGTGCAGAAGATGATGTCCGTTGGTAAGCTGAAGTGAATTTTGGACTTCTCTTGGGATTCTGTTGCGGAGAGCCACGAGTTCCTGTTCTCCAGAGAAAGTCGTGGTGCTGGAGCTGGAAGGCTGGCGGACGAAATACGGCATTTGCGGAAGGGAACGCTCGCCGTCGCGTCTGGATGCTTTTGTCAAGAGTTTGGAAGAGGAAAGGGATCACTTTCGTCAGGAGGCCGAACATTATCAAAACCTCGGGATCTCCAGCAACACCAGTCGCAGTTCAGACAGGCAGAGAAGTCACGCCGCGGAGGTAAGAGACAAATTTTCATGTTCGCGAGTACTGTTTGTCAGGACTCGCTGCCCAACATCACGTCAATTTATGAAAATACGACAGCGTCTTGACTACCAAAGCTCAAACCATACCCTGCCTGTTCACGGTTAAGTATTCATGAATTCACCTATTCACGTTGTTCTCTGTGGAAACTATCCTCGGCTTTCAGTTGAAAATCTCACCTATTTGGCCTATTTTTAAAAAAGAATTTATACTATGCCTTGTAATGTCATAAAACGCCACAAGATGGCAACAAAATCCCTCCCTAATTGGAAAGAAGTAATTGTCGACGTGGAATTATATTGAAGTGATACACCTTTACTGAACGAGTAGGATACGTTGGTATTTTTATTGTTTGTGACAGATGCTCACTTTCATCGCATTTTTCCACCTCAAATCATCGGTATATTGTTGATGCAGCGATTTGGTCCACACCACCGAAAGCCTGCACGAATCCCAACGATCAACGGACAAATCGGAGAAAGAAAGTCAAAACAGCGATGTCCGCCTGGTCAGGGAGAACCAAGAGCTTCACCTTGAGCTCATGACGGTGAAGGGCGAGAAAGCCAACGTGACCAGAGGTAAGAGTCATGTCAGGGTGTGACCATAATCAAGCGTGGCGGTGACTCGGCAAAACGTCTTGTTTCTCGTTCCAGAGCTGAAGGTCTACATCACCAAACTGGACAATGACCTTGCTTTGCTGAAGTCTTTGAACAAGCAATATTTGCAAGAGATGCACAGCCTGGAGAAGGACTGCAAAGAAAAGGCCAGGCTCATCCGTCAACTGCGTCGAAAAAATTTGAACAGTTGGGTGCAGGCGGTGGGTAAGTAGGTCTCTGGGTTGCGGTGTTTGAGCAGAAGACACATCCGAGTTCTGTAATTGCAATCCAAACATAACCTTTCACCTCACGGGATTCACGCTTGTCAGAGGAAATAAATGAAAACACAATTGGCTGCATCGACGACATGACTGAATTAAATCGATCTCAAGTCCAGTGTGTGTTGCCTGTTCTGTCCTTCCTTAGATGCAAACAAGTCCCCACCTGATGATCCGGAAGCAGCTGATCTGCAGCAGGCGGAACTTACAAGAATAAAAACCGAGCTGGAAAATTCTCAAGGGCACATACAACACTTAAATAACCAAGTCAGTCGGTCAGAGACGCTGGCGGTTTTCTTGTCCAGAGATTCAGTTTCCAACTTTCTTTGCGTGTTGGCACGTGTCGCCCATACACAGATTGATGAACTGCAGGAGACCAACGTCACACTGGAGCAGAAGCTCAAGGGAGTGCAGCACAAGTCCTCCGGCAAAGTGGCTGAGCTCACCTCAAAGAACCACGAACTGTGTCAAGAGATCACGGACATCCGCAACCTAGCCAAGTTGGTGGAGCTGGAAAAGAAGCAAAAGCTCCAAAAGGCCGAAATGAAATTGCAAGACCTTCAGGTGAGAACGAACCGAGTTCACTTCGATCACTTCTGAGAGAAACAACAAGGAGTGAAGATATTTTTTTCCTTCCATCCACCAACAGGACATCATCCGAAAGCTCCAAGGAGTCATTAAAGATTTGGAGGATCAGCTGAGTAAAAAAAGAATGGTGAGGACTGCCTGGTACGTACTCAGGTAATCCTCACCCACTGCCCTTTTCACTCCTGATTCCCGATTGCAGACTTCGGATCTACCAGATGAACAAGAGTCGAGGACTGCCGACCGACAGAACAACACTCGCAATGTCAGTAAGGCAATATTGAAAACGCAGTCACCAAGAAACAGGCTTTGGTCTTCTTTAAACAGTCTTGCTGTTTTTGTCTTTATTTTTTTGGGCAGGGATTTGCATCTCAGGAAGCTTCAGACCAGGAGTTTGTCAAATCCCAACTTGGAGATCAGTTACGGGATCTAAGAGAGCAAAATGAAAAATTTGAGGCGATGGTGGCGTTCCTGGCGGCAGAGAAAAGCAGACTGCAGGACAAAGTGCAGAAGATGATGTCCGTTGGTAAGCTGAAGTGAATTTTGGACTTCTCTTGGGATTCTGTTGCGGAGAGCCACGAGTTCCTGTTCTCCAGAGAAAGTCGTGGTGCTGGAGCTGGAAGGCTGGCGGACGAAATACGGCATTTGCGGAAGGGAACGCTCGCCGTCGCGTCTGGATGCTTTTGTCAAGAGTTTGGAAGAGGAAAGGGACCACTTTCGTCAGGAGGCCGAACATTATCAAAACCTCGGGATCTCCAGCAACACCAGTCGCAGTTCAGACAGGCAGAGAAGTCACGCCGCGGAGGTAAGAGACAAATTTTCATGTTCGCGAGTACTGTTTGTCAGGACTCGCTGCCCAACATCACGTCAATTTATGAAAATACGACAGCGTCTTGACTACCAAAGCTCAAACCCACCCGCTGAAATTCGGAACCTGAGACAGAAGCTCAGACTGGTAGAAGAACAACTCCAGCAGGTGACAAAAGAAAAAGTCTCTCTGATGGAAGAATTGAAGGTGAGTACCGCTGGACAACTGCCTTATGATTGATCTTGACAGATTATTCTTAACCTCTAACCCCTCCCCAAAAACTGCAAAAGGCCCACGACAGCTCAAACACATCCCCCGAAATCCTCAAACCGAAGAAGACCTTCAAACAGGCAATAGAACAAGTCCTGCAAGAGACGAAAGAAAAACGCAAGAAAAGGAAAGACGGAGTGGAGGAGGAACTTCAGGTTAGTACTAATGGCTCAGGTATGTCGACACATTTTGCATCATGATGACTCTTTTTACTCATTCACTCCCAAAGACGTTTTTAAACGTCTTTTCAGACTTGGTCTAGAATTGGCTGGTACTGAATGAGTTACAGGCAATTCCAGGAATAGTAACCCAGTAAAGTCCATCGCGACCTTGATATTGACCTTAATATTATCCATGCCTAAGAGAGATCACCGCTAATTTCTAACGAAAGGAGCCGCAGCCCGAACAGCGCGACTCGACCACGCCTGATGAATTTCTGGACCTGAAAGAGGAGCTAAGCCTGGTGGAAGAAAAAAATCAGCTCTTGACTGCTGAAAAAGATTCGCTCATGGAGGAGTTTCAGGTTAGTGCAGCGGGACCGCCTGCGGTTCATCGCTAATGCGCATACATTTGGATGTTTTCAAGTTGGACCTATTTTCTTTCTTAAAACGTCAGAAAAAGGAGCTGCAGTGTGAGCAACACACCGCAGAAGTGTCCGACCTTCTGGAGCAACTCAAAGGGGCAGAAGAGAAAATCCAGCAGCTGACCGGTGAAAAAGACGCACTCGTGGAAGAATTGAAGGTTGGTAGCCGATCACTTGTGACCTCTGAAAAAAAGACTCGCTGATGGGGGAGTTAAACGTCATGACAGAGAGGACTTCCTACCTTCTGGCATGGCAGTCGTAAATGACTTTGTCAACATCACATTGTTGTAGCAAAAGCAACTGCAGCTGGATACAAATACTTCGGCTGAGATTGCAACACTGAAAGAAAATCTGAAAAAGGCAGAAGTGATCATTCAGATGTTGAAATCGGGGAACGATAAAAAGACGGAACAATTGAAGGTAAGTCGGAGATCACTTCTCGTCGTGGAATTTTTGCAGGGATTTCTACAAACCGGATTTCCTCACGCAGCAAATGCAGCAGGGAAAAATCGGACAGGCGTCGACTGCCAAAGATCCACTGGTGGAGGAACTGAAGGTTGGTACTGGATGAAAAACTTGCGTAGTTAACATCGTGATGGCACTGGAACGCATGCGCGCATTTCCCAACGTTTCGCAAATGCAGGAGCAACATGAAAAGGAAATCTCGAAACTAAAAGCGGAGCGACAACAGGCAGAAGAAAAGCTCCAGCAGTTGACTTCTGAAAAAGACTCACTGATGGAGGAGTTGAAGGTTGGTACGAGCAGACTTCCGGCGTTCCGGCATGACAGTCGTAAATGAACTTGTCAACATTGTGTTTTATTATTATTTTTTTTTTATAGCAAAAGCAGCTGCAGTCCGAGGTGCACAAATCCAAAACTTCTGCTGAGATCTCAACACTGAAGGAGAATCTTAAAAAGGCAGAAGTGAACATTCCGATGATGAAATCGGGGAAAGATAAAAAGACGGAGCAATTGAAGGTAGGTCGCAGATCGTTTCTTGTGTATCATCGTGAAATTTTGCAGGGATTTGTACAAACCGCGTTTCCTCATGCAGCAGGAAAAAATCGGACAGGCGTCGACTGCCAAAGATCCACTGGTGGAGGAACTGAAGGTTGGCACTGGATGAAAATTTGTGTAGTTAACATTGGAGAAACACGTGAGCATTTCCCAACTTTTAGCAAATGCAGGAGCAACATGAAAAGCAAATCTCGGATGCCTCTGGCGAAATCTCAAAACTACAAGCGGAACGACAACAGGGAGAAGAAAAGCTCCAGCAGTTGACTTCTGAAAAAGACTCACTGATAGAGGAGTTGAAGGTCGGTACGGGAAGACTTCCGGCGTGATGGTCGTAAATAACTTGGTCAACATTGCATTTTTGCAGCAAAAGCAACTGGAGTACGGGGAGCGCAATACAAAAACTTCGGCTGAGATCTCAACACTGAAAGAAAATCTGAAAAAGGCGGAGGTGATCATTCAGATGGCGCAATCGGGGAAAGATAAACTGAGGGAGGAATTGAAGGCGAGTACGGGCGATTCTCCAATGTCCATGTCGAATCTTGAAATGAAAAGCATGTCGATGAACTACGTTTCCTCACCCGTAGCAAGCGAAGCTAGAGCACGACAAGCAGCGTGCTCTGAATTCCGCTGAAATGTTGAAACTCAAAGAGGAGCTCAAACAGGCGACAAAGAAAAATAAGACGGAACAAGCGGAGGTGGCGAACCAGCGCTCAATCTGCGCATTTTTATGACTTTCATCTGAATATAAGAAAAATAAATGTCTTCCATCTTTCGCAAATGCAGACGCAGACGGCCAGCGACGGCCCGAGCGCATCGGATGAAATGGCAAACCTGAAAGAGCAACTCGAATCGGCGGAAGAACAAATCCAGCAAATGACGGATGAAAAAGACGAACTGATGGAGGAACTGAAGGTCAGTACTGCAGGACTTCGGAACCGATGCTGCTGGAATTCTGAATGAATCGACGTACCTTGACTGTAGCAACAGCAGCTGCAGTACGAGCAACGCGCCTCCGACACATCTGCTGAAATCTCCGATTTGAAAGAGAAGCTCAGAGTGGCCGAAGAAAAGATCCAGCAGGTGACGGCCGAAAAAAAATGCACAAATGGATGAAGGTTTGTACTGGAAGATTTTCCGTATGGATAAATTGAACAACATGACGCGTTCTAATCCGTAGCAAAAGCGGGATGAGGAGCGCAACTCCAAAACGTCCGCTGAAATGTTCAAACTGGAAGAGAAAATCAAAGAGGCGGAAGATCAACTCCAGCGGGTGAAACATGAAAAAGACGCACAGATGGAGGAATTGAAGGTAAGTACTGGAAGATGTCTGCGCTCCACTCGGGTAATACACAAAGTTTGCTTTTCCACAGCAAATTCAGCTCAAGCACGCCGAGCAGCACTCCAAAACCTCCGCGGAAATTGCGAAACTGGAGCAGAAGCTTAGACTGGCAGAAGAAAAAATTCTGCAGGTCGAAGCGGAAAAAGAATCGGTGACAGAGGAGTTGGAGGTAACGCATCCTCGGTGTCAGGTAAACTTGTATTTTTTTTTTTTCAAACTTGTACAAAAATGTCCTCATATTCCGACGACAGCAACTGCAACAAAGTGCCGACCGAAGCGCCGCTTCGTCTTCTGAAGTCGTCAAACTGACAGTGAAGCTCAGATTAGCCGAAGAAAAAATCAAGCGCCTGACGACTGAAAAAGACGCACTGACGGAGGAACTGAAGGTCGGCGCCCCCAAGCGCCTTTTTGGCATCGTCGTACATCGTCCTATGGATGAATGAAATAAAACTTGGCATTTTATATATATATATATATATATATATATATATATATTTTTTTTTTTAGGAAATGCAACTACAGAATGAGCGCCTCGCCTCAAGCACATCTGCCGAAATCTCCGCGCTGAAGGAGAGTCTCAGGCTGGCAGAAGAAAAAATCCAGCAAGTGACGGAAGAAAAAAACTCGCAGTTGGAGGAATTGAAGGTAAGCGTACTTGGAGGAGTTGGAAAAAAAAAATCTGATGAAATCTCAGTGCTGAAAAAAAGAAAAAAAAAAAGAAGCCCAGACTGGCGATTGAACATCTCGACATTTCCCAATTCATAGCAAAAGACTCGCTCCAACATATCTGATCAAATCTCCAACATGAAAGACAAGCTCCGACTGGCAGAAGAAAAAATCCAGCGCTTGACCGAAGAGAAACACAAACGGGAAGCGGAGGTAAGCAATGGAGAAAAATTCTCGGCCGTTTGCACCGATATGAATTGATCACGACTACTTTTCTCATTGGGGGAATAAAAGCAGCTGCAAAGTGCTGACCGGAATGCGAAAGGGGCTGCCGAAGTCCTTCAACTGAAAGAGAAGCTTCAACGGGCAGAAACCAAAATCGAGCTGGTTACGGAGGAAAAAGATTCACTGATTGAGGAGATGAAGGTTAGTCACCAAAAGTCTGTCTGGATATGAATAAATTCAAGTTAAAATATTTCCTAATGCGTAGCAAAAGACCCGTTCCAATACATCGGAAGAAATCTCCAACCTGAAGGAGACGCTCAGATTGGCTCAAGAAAAATTGCGCAACGTGAGAACTGAAAAAGAGACACTGATGGAAGAACTAAATGTTGGTACCAGAAGACTTTCTTTCAATTTTGAGAATATTTATCGATTCAATAACACGACATTTCCTCAACTACAGCAAAAGAAGAGTTCAAACCCATCTGAGGAACTCTCCGGCTTGAAAGCAAAGCTCAGACTGGCAGAGGAAAAAATCCAGCGGTTGACTGCTGAAAATGAGTCCCTGAGGGAAGAATTGAAGGTTAGCGCAGCTCGCTAAACCAAGCAACGGTGCCACGTTAAGGTCACGAAACGTCTTCGTCTTCCGTCAAAAGCAGATGCGTGACGACCCAAGCGCATCTGTTGATGCGCTGAATACACTGAGAGACAGGCTCCAACTGGCCGAAAGAAAAATCCAGCGGGTGACGGCGGAAAAAGACTCTCTGAGGGAGGAATTAAAGGTAAGCGCTTCATGATGATTCTCTTGACACTCTTTTGCAAAGCACTGACGAGACATTTTTGTCTTTATCAGGGCGACGCGATTTCCCCGCAGCCATACGGACGTGGACAGGAAAATCGGATTCTCGGGGTGCAGAATGTCATTCGCAGCGTCATCGCCATTTGTCAACACCACACACACTAAACGCCCGCTTTGCTAAATTTGAACGTTGATTTGAGCCGAAATAACCTTTCACCTGTGGGGAAAGTTGACTCTGATTAACAGTGAACTCGATAGAAAACAAAAACAATGGCAGAATATTGAAACACGTAGGTTTTGATAGCCATGGTATTTACTTGGGGGGCCAGGTTATTGTAGTTAACGAAAAACGAAACAACTAAAACTAACATGGAAAAAAACATTTGGGCTTTAAAAAAAAAAAAAGTCCTATTTAAAAAATGAAAACTCACCGAAATGGCATCTTACAAACTATAACCAAAATGTCCTTCGTTTTCATCTTTGTCAGTTATTGTCGTTAACTTTCGAAGTTTATTTGAAAGGTATTTATTTTGGGATTGTTGTACATTTGTCGAGAAGAGGGAACATCAAATACTGATTTCAAAATTATTCTTGTTTATCGCACAATTACTTATTGACTTTTTTTTTTTTTTTAATCTCACACTTGACAAATGCTCTATACATTTTAAAAAACTAAAGCTAATACTAAAACTAATAAAAATATAACCAAAAAGAAACATTTTTTGAAAAATAAAATTGAACAAACTTGCCCTAAAGAGCGAGTAAAATTAACGGAACTATTTTTTTTAAGTCAAAATTGAATAAAAACTAACTATAATAAAAAATTCAAAACTATTACAACCCTGATTTGAGGTAGAAAAAAAATGATCCCCCGCAGTATAATACCCCAATTAGTTGTGTATTCATCGACTCAACAAAACAAAACTATCCGGTTCCAATGTGGTGATCGTCTATTTTCGACAAACTTTTAAAGACTACAAACAGCACGTCATGCAATTGTTTGCAAGGTGGAGAAAGAATATACGTTGTTGCCAGTATCATCTTCATCTGACTTACTTTAAAAGGGGAAAGACATCTCACTTGTTCTCTTTGTGTGTCGCGGGATGAAGCTGGAGCAGGAGAACCTGGAGCTGCGTTCACAGGTTTTTGAGCTACGGAACCGCGAACGGGATTTGGAGCGGCAGATGAATGTCCGTTCTGCCGCGCTGGTCCAGAATCCGGAGGAGGTGGTATGGCAGAGAAAAGCGGCCTCCGGTCTTAGGTTTGGTTTCCAGCCGCATCAATAGCGTTGAACCTAATGAACAGAACAGCGGTAGCTTGATTTAGGAATGCCCCAAATTTCATGATTTCAAACTTTGATTCAATAGACATCACCTGCTTTGAAGAAATTGTCTGAAAAATAACTGGAAACAATTTGCAGTCCCAAGTCTACCCAGCAGGGAGCCGGCACACCGTGCCATGCTAAGTGCAGTGTGAAAGGGGCTTCACTTCAGTTTTTGCTCGCAACACAAAGCCAAAAAAAAAAACAACAACAAAGTGACTGCTCGCATCCGGAACAACTAAGTCAAGTTACCGCTGTAATTCGATGAATGACACGTCATCTCGTCTCAAGGCAACAACAAGAGCAGATTCACTACGCGCTTTTGGACCTCCAACACATGCTGTCTGTAAAGAACAACGAGTTAGACTCCACTCACTCGCAGATGGAAAAACTGAAGGACATCATCGGTACGGACAGAGCACTCATTCCGTTGGTAGACCTTTGTCTCCTTTTTTTTTTTTGAACTCGATTTCTGCAAAATGGGTTTTGCCAGATTCGCTGAGTCAGCAGGTTTATCAGCACAAGCAGGAAGCCGAGGTCCTTCGCATTTCTTTCTCGGCGTTGAAAATAAGAAAGAACGTCCTGGAGGAGGAGGTGGCGACCAAGACCAAGAGACTGGCGGTTCTCCAGGAGCAGCTCGGCAAGAAGGTTGCTTCCATATTGTTGTTATTGAAGCCATTTCGACACGTAGATGCGCTAATAGCACACTATTTTCTTCAGGAAAAGAGCCTCAACAAAAACGAATCGCACTTCTGATGTGAGTATCTTCATTCCCCAAGAGGCAACCAACATCTACGCGGACTGTGTAATCTGCTGATTTTTTAAATTTTTTTTTGCATGACAGACAGATGGACGTGGAATTGAAGAGCCAGGAGAGGGAGCAGGCCACTCACAGGATGCTGGAGACCCATCAGGAGGCGCTGTTGCGACTCACAAGAGACAACGAATTGATCATCGGTGATTATAGGAGGCTGCAGGACGACGTGGCCGCCATGACGCAGGAGAAGCAAGTCAGGACGTAAATAGGCTGCTCGCCGGGTGAAGTCGCACTTGATTCAAAACGAATCGTTTTTGTCCAGGCTGCCCATGAGAAGATGGAGGAGGCTTTACGTGAGCGGGAAGCGCTAAAACAGAGAGTCCATTCTTATGTCGATACGGTGTCCAGGATTGAGAACATCTTGAAGACAAAGGCAAGAGAAAAAGTGCAATTCACGAGGATGATTATTGACTCCCTCGGCAGGCTTCTTCCAGTCTCGAAATAAATTCTCCGGGGTTTTTCCTTGGCCAGAACTCTCCGCTGGGTTGTTTGACAGCCTATGTGACAAATACGGGTATCATGAACATTCATCTGTGGCTTGTTGGTCTAGTGGTATGATTCTCGCTTCGGGTGTGAGAGGTCCCGGGTTCAAATCCCGGACGAGCCCTCATTTGAAAGCATTTTTAGCTTGCCCTCTCCTGCCAGTGGTGTCATTTGGCAGCCAATGTGACAAATAAGGGGATCATCCACATACCTCTGTGGCTCGTTGGTCTAGAGGTATGATTCTTGCTTCGGGTGTGAGAGGTCCTGGGTTCAATTCCCGGATGAGCCCTCCCTTTTAAGGCCTTTACCCTGCCCCAACCACTTGCAGTCATCTGATCTGACAGCAAATTTGACAAACAAGGGCTTCATACGCGTGGCTCGTTGGTCTAGTAGTATGATTCTCGCTTCGGGTGTGAGAGGTCCCGGGTTCAAATCCCGGACGAGCCCTCCTTGGAAAAGGATTTTTAGCTTGCCCTCCCCCTACCAGGGGTGTCATTTGTGACAAATACGGGTATCATGAACATTCATCTGTGGCTCGTTGGTTGGTCTAGAGGTATGATTCTCGCTTCGGGTGTGAGAGGTCCCGGGTTTAAATCCCAGACGATCCCTCCCTTTTAAGACCTTTACCCTCACCCACTTGCAGTCATCTGATCTGACAGCAAATTTGACAAACAAGGGCTTCATACGCGTGGCTCGTTGGTCTAGTAGTATGATTCTCGCTTCGGGTGTGAGAGGTCCCGGGTTCAAATCCCGGACGAGCCCTCCTTGGAAAAGGATTTTTAGCTTGCCCTCCCCCTACCAGGGGTGTCATTTGTGACAAATACGGGTATCATGAACATTCATCTGTGGCTCGTTGGTCTAGTTGTATGATTCTCGCTTCGGGTGTGAGAGGTCCCGGGTTCAATTCCCGGACGAGCCCTCCTCTAAAGACTTTTACCCAACCCCTTCAATTGTCATCTGACAGCCTATGTGACAAATAAGGAGATCATCCACATACCTCTGTGGCTCGTTGGTCTAGTGGTATGATTCTCGCTTCGGGGGTGAGAGGTCCCGGGTTCAAATCCCGGACGAGCCCCGTTTTAAGGGGTTCTACCAGGCTTGGACCACCCAACTTTGGTATCACTTGATAGCAGGGGGTCTTACACTTGCCTATGTTGGTCTATAACAGTATGATTCTTGCTTTGGGTGTCAGGTCCTGAGTTCAAATCCTGAATGAGTCCCCCTTTTAAATGTTTTGCCCCTTTTCTCTGCCAATTACGGTGGCCCATGTGACAAGGGGTCATAAGCTTCTCGCTGCGGGTACGAGGAAACCCCAAAGGAGTTCTTTGATACATGTCTTCCCTTGCAGAATCAAGAGAACCTGGACCTTGTGGAGCGCTTCCGCACAGCCCGCTCGGACGTGCAGGAGCGGGAGCAGCGGCTGCAGCAGGTGGAGGAATTCATCGGCTCCGTCCGCCTGGAGCTCATCTCATCCGAGACGGAACGCCAGCACCTGCGCGAAGCTCTTGGGCGCAAGGTGCAAGAGATTCAGCAGGTAAGACCACAGTTCAACCATCCATCATTTTCTGGAGCACTTCTTGAGGGTCACGGGAATGTTGGAGTCCATCCTGGTTGACTTTGGGCAAGATGCAAGGTTTCCCCCCCCCTAGGACTGGTTGCTAGCTGACCCCAAACTATTTTGTCTTTGCCTTCGTAGCACATGCAGGACTTACACACATACAAGACACAAGTCGCATCGTTGACCCACGGGATGTCCCAACTGGAAGAGGAGATCCGTGTCCTTCAGGAGGAAAAAGCCTCTCTCTTGGCCGACCTGGCGTCGGTCAGAGAAGTCTGCGTCAAAATGGACTCGGACAAGGAAATCGCCGCCCGTCAACTTTTGCAGGCGAATATGGAACTGGAGAGGGTGAGGCTCGTTTTCGTAAAAAAACAAAAACAAAACACTGAAATGAACAGTAAAACTTAACGGTTTACTGTCAATTATATACAGAAAAAAAATGTCTTATGTGTCGAGTTGAAATCCAGAGATTCCCAAACAGCCACTTTTACTTTGGAAAACGGTCAACATTTTTCTGCTCATTTTCTGACGTTACAAACCAAACCAGTAATTTAACCCCGATTAGTTTGTGCGTTGTCTGCACTCTTAATTTGAATTCATGTTGATTTTTTTTCCATAAAGTGATTGAAATTAAAAACTGTTTTGGTTTTATATGACTTACTGATTAATCACCAAAACACTCGACAGATTATTCCATTATTAAAATAATCATTTGTTCCAAGCTTAATACAGACACCTAAAAAGAAAAAGAAAATGGACTTCAATACAATAACCAAGAATTTACACTTGCCTACTTCCCACCACCTTTCTGCTTGCCGTCCAGGCGACCACGAGACAGGAGGACGCTCTCACGGAGGCGGCTCGCCTCAAGGAGCACCTGATGAGCGAAAAGCTGGCGGTGCGCAACATGCAGGCCATGCTGGCCGCCAATCGACAGGAGATGTTCCAAGCCCACCGGGAGGCCAGCGAGAAGGAGGCGGAGCTCAAGGCCCTACGCCACATGCTCACCCTGGCCGACAACAAGATGTAAGACTTGGTGGTGTGGGGGAGGGGGGGAAAGTTTGTTTGAAGAGATTTTGCTTCAAATGGTGACCGACGTTTTACTTTGGTAGCGTGGTGAACGCCAGGGAGGTGACCAATCTCCGGGGCAAAGTCACTCAGCTGCAGACCAAGATGGAGGTTTTGAGTAGCAAAGTCCTTGAGTGGTGAGCTTGAATGAAAAACGCCCGACTGGTCGCAATTGTCCATTCGTGCAACTGCGAGGTTGAAAAAGAGAAGACGGTTTTGTCACCCATGTTCAGTGATGCCAGAGTTACATTATTACTTGATTTTAAAAAGTAACCATGTGAGATGAAGTTTCTTTATTACATTCTACAGATGCTGACAACCCCGCTGAAGGTAAAAACTGTCAACTGGTTTTACCACGACTTAATTGAAAGTGAAAATTTTTACAGAAAAAAATCAACAAACCTTTTAATTTATTTAACAAATACGTCTAGGGATTTGACTTCACGTAAACAGTCTGCTTGTTTTTATTTAAATGGATTTCACGATTTTTTTTGTCTGTTTTGGCCCTACTTGGTTAACTGTTAACATTGTCATGGCAAAACTTTGCGCATTTACAGTGTGCATTGTTTAAAAATTATAACATTTGGGGGCATCATATTGCCTGATGGAACACTCCCCTAACGATCGAATGTGCTGCGATCCATTTTATTTATTTTTTTAATTGGACGTACCTGTAGCGAATCAAGAGAACACGTCATCAATCAACAGCACACAATGTGCAGAGCACCTTAATTTTGTCTTTAGCGGACTCACTCAAAACGGCGACTGGATTTCCACGCCGATCTCCCTCCTTCCTACATTAATTGTCTTCTCTCCTGACAGCAACACCTCTGAAGATATCTCCTTCAGGCCTCTGAGGGCCTCCTCGCCCGTCGACCATCGGGCCACTCCTCGTCAGCCGGCTCCCGACAGCTCCATCCAAGGAGAAGAGGTCAGCTCAGGGCTCACGTAACGTCCTGGACTCAAGTGATCCTCAAAAGAAGGGGGCTTAGTTTGGCATTTGAAAAATCTACTGAGTACTTAGCTGCTGCCACCTTGTGGCATCTAAAGGTAATGATGCGAGGCATCATGCTTCTCATCAAGAATAGTATCTACAGTGTTCAATATACATGATCAGAACGAATGCTTATACTGTATGTGGGATGTGTTAGGTGATTCCGGGAACGGAATATTTTGTCATTGATATTGTCTGCCAATATTTTTGTTTTTGTCTTTTCCAGCCAAAAAGTCAAGATTCACCCTCACTAGTACACTGAGGGACAATTTTGAGTGTTCAATCAACCTATCATGCATGTTTTTGGAACGTGGGAGGAAACAGGAGTACCCGGAGAAACCCCACGCAGGCATGGGAAGAATATGCGAACTCCATACAGGCAGGTCGGAGCCTGGAACTGAATCCTGGACCTCTGTACTGTGAGGAGAATGTAGCTAACCAGGCGGTCACTGTGCGACCCAAAATATAATTTCAGTATTTGATTTAAAAAAAAAAAAAAAAATTCAAATGTTCATTGAAGAACTCACTACTGAATTGATTAAAAAAGTTAAGAAATGTCTCAATGTTTTCGGTGGCTTAAACAGGTGCCACCTCCCCCCCCCGCCCACCCACGAAAAATAATTACCTTACCGTATATGCTCATTCTTGTTATTTAAAAATGTATTTAATTGAATAAACAGGAGCAGAAATGTCTCATCTTCCCAACTGTATGAAAACACAATGTCATGTTTATTCAACAAATGTCAGTATGTACACAATATATATTTAGAACATGAGTGGAAAAAAAGGATAGAGGTAAACAGATGTTATATTGTACAGAAAATGTGAAAATCCAAGACGTGCGTGAAACAATTCAAGCATAATGCTATGGCTCAATAAATACTCGCTGGCAACTTCTAGTAGGGACGTTCTATAGTCATTTCATTTATGGAGGACACTGAGGGGAGAAAAAAAAAAGTGCACTGACAACTCTAGCTCTCCTTGCCCACGTGCTAGAACCTGACAGTTCTTCGAATTAAAGCTAAAGTCATCCAACATAATTGTTGAAATCAACCTTATGATGCTCAAGGTATCACTGTATCTACTGTAGATGAATGAAAAGAATGATGTATTAATTGTCTGACTGTGGAGTGGAGCTGGTGACGGACGTGCGCTGCGAACCCGTCGAGACGTTGAGCGACGACGAGCTCCGCAGCGGAGAGACGGACAGGCCTCGCCGCCGCATCTCCTGCACGGCCCTCTCGCTGGCAGTACACAGACAACCACACTGTGTGACCACACTACTGCATTTTTATTTCTTTTTTTGTAACACTGTCATCATAAGTCCCATCAGAACAGCTCTAAGGTCCTAATTCTGTCCTTGGTAAACCTCTAATATTGTTCTGCTTGAGAAATCCCAAGTTGCCATCTTAACGGTACAGGAAACGCAGCTGAATATTTTCAAAGGTAAAATTTCTGTAAAAATAAAGCACGCAATGGCTCTGCTAATTGAAGCTGAAGAACAATTAACACTGACTCAAAATTAGATATTTTTTAAACGACATATACATCTTAATTTCATGTCTATTCATTAAAGCTTTTTTTTTGTAGAGGCATGCGTGGCGACACTGTATACAACCTGATTGATAGTCGTTGCATCGCTCAAGTTGCAATTTGTACGTTCCGGTGCAATGCGTTCATCCAACACTAGGTGGCGGACATTGAACTCACCGTTCAAAGCGCTCTGACGTCAGCTGTCTGTTGAGGACGTCCATCTCTGTCTGCAGCTGACAGACTTTGTTGCGCAGGTTGGACACGTCCCTCGCGTGCTCGGCGCTGTCATACGACAACATGGGTGGTTTTGGGGGGGGGGGACGACACATCAATTACTCCGTACCCTTGATATCCAGCTTTCGGTTGGTGTACTAATAGGCTCTTTGTCCTGACTAGAAAGACAATACACTAATAGGATATGGAATAAATTCTCCAATATGGCTTTTTCGATACGCGTCAGGCTGGTCCGAGTCCTTACTTCTTGTTGTCGGCCAGCGTGAGCCTGTCGCGCAGGACCTTGAGCTCGGACTCCTTCTCGCTGGCCGTCAGGTGTGTCTGGAACTCCTTCTGGCGATTGGTGGACAGCAATTTCTCCAGATTTTGCACCGCCAGCCGCTCGCTGGTCAGCTGCTTTTTCAGCAGCTGCGCTTCGGAGCGCACGTCCTCCAGCTCTCCCTCCACCTGGGTGGGACCAAGCTCAATTTTAGCAAAGCGAGTATATGTTGCTGAACATTGACATACAGTATCGTGGTGCCTTGACTTAAGAGTGTCCCCAACTTACGAGTTTACGAGCCATCCATTTATTGCTTTGAATTGCAGTATTTGAGAAACAGGCAAGATTGAGTTCGGGCGAACGAACATTTTTAAAGTCTATTATTGTACAGATTAAAATCGTTCCATTGAATAATCGAATGAGGCACGCATGCAATCGTCCATCGTGCTGACACCTGCTCACCCTCTCGAGTTCCATGCTCTTGGATGTGACCTGTCGCACGGTGAGCTCTTTGGCAGAGTCCAGCTTGACGCAAAGCTCCCTGACCGAGGCCAAATCGGAGGCGAGAGACGCTTTCTCCTCCTGGGCCTTGCGCAGCTCTTCCTCAAGTCGGGCCATGGTTCGAGCCAGCGTTGACACTTTGCCCTCGTACGCCTGCAGAGCTTGCATATTCTGGAGGGGGGAAAAAAATGTACATCAATGCAATTCAAAATGATGAGCGTTTTCAATTGAATTCAGGTAACTGGGATTGTGTGTCTCACCTGCTGGATCTCAAGCTCCTTATGGCTGACGGTTTCACGCAGGTGCCGGCGTTCCGTGTCGGACGAGAGGAGCTCCAGGCGGATGGAGTTCTTCAGCTCCTCGATCTGCTGCAGCCTGCGCTCCCGCTCCTCCACGTCCAAGTGGGCCGTGCGGTAGCGCTCCAGCAGGTCCAGGTTCTCCTGATCCTGGGGAGGCCAACACGTCATAGTCAGCTGATGCTTCACAAAAGGGAAATACCACAAAAGCAAGCAAGCACGCCAGCAGTAAAGGTTGGGGACAAATGTATTGGCGCGATTGGTTGCTTGAGGAGTTTAGTAAACCAGTCCCCTAATTGCCTCCAATTAACTTTTTTTTTTTCCATTCTCAGTGAGCAGAGAGGTGAGGCGTGTGCAGTTATGCATGGAGGAGCAAGTGTAAGGATGCAGAGAGTTTAGATAAAACTGACAGTTACAGTTACCTACACAGATGCCTTTTGATTAATGCGCATTGTCCTAAAAAACATGGAACCAGCGTGCACTAGTTAGCCCCAAGGACAACATGAATAGTCCACGAGTCCAAAAACGGCTCACCTGTGACACTGCAACTGGCTCAGAATTAAAACCAAAGAAGATTGTCAACTTTTATTTTATTTATTTATTTCTTAATGGACCAAACATTCAATATTTTGTTTCAAAATAAAATAAATTGTGTGAAATGCAGATTTACAATCATGTATGTGTATGGCAAATTTCTCTTGCCTTTGTCTGCAACAGGTTCTCAATCCTGGCCACTGCACTTATGTAAGAGTGCACTCTCAGTTTCAGCTCGTCGCGCTCACGCAAAGCCTCCTCCATCTCCACGTTGACCGCCTAGACGAGACAACAGAGGCAGAGCTTGGCTGTTCATTCTTTGCTTTTCAAAACATGATGATCAGAAGAACGTGATCCGCACTTGGTTCTCTCTGGTCATCGTCGCCAGGTCATCCTGAAGCCTCCTCTTCTCCCTGACTGTGATCTCTTTGGTTTTCTGTAGTCCCGCCACCTCCATCTGGGCTTCGTCGAGCTGTTTCCTGAGACTGGCGATCTCCCTCTCGCGGCTATTGAGCGCCCCCTGCAGTTGACTAAAACACAAACGTGTCGGATGACAAGTCTCAATTAGGTACGGTGACGCCTTAAAAAAAAGGAAAAAAGCCTACTCACGCCACAGATTTGTCCATCGCGGTGACTGTGTGCCTAACATCCTGAAGTGTCTTTGCCTAAACAGACAAAATGACATTTGCAATTATAAGCTATGGAAACTATTGTGACATGGTGCCAACAATGTTATTTGAAGAGCTTAACCATCGAGTTATGTTTGTTTCTCAGCAACAGAAATGATCCAAAAATGTCAGAAAAAAAAAAAACCCAAAAAAACAGTGACACACAAAACAGGAGGGTTCATAAACAAAAGCTTCATACAGAGATTTGGAAGAGCGACCTTATTTTCAAGTTCCTCCTGAAGAACAACCAGCTTCTCTGCTTTTTGATCCACCTCATCTTGCAGGCCATCTTTCTCCTTATCCAGCGCAGAGAATGAGAGATGAAGCCGCTCCGCCTCTTGCTTGTGCTTGGCCACCTGCTGACGCAACATCCCTGCGTGACAAAAGCAGAGAATTCAGAGGCAATTATTAAAAAAATAATAATAATAAAAATAAAGCAATCATTACAAAGAGTCACCTATGGTCTCATCCTGAATTTCCATCTGTTCGTTAGCGGCGTGCAGCTCGGAGGTGAGACAAAAGCAGAGAATTCAGCGGCAATCATTAAAAAATAAAATAAAAATAAAGCAATCATTACAAATCGTCACCTATGGTCTCATCCTGACTTTCCATCTGTTCGTTAGCGGCGTGCAGCTCGGAGGTCTTCACAGACAGTTTTTGTTGGAGGTCGGACAGCGAATACTGCATCTGCTCCTGTTGCAGCCTGACACGCAGAAAGAAAACACCGACTTTGAGAGACAAGCAATCTTGAACAGGAATAAGTGTCCTATGATATATTTTAATGACACCCCCCCTAGGCCCCCCCAAAAAGGGACTTATTGTCAAATATTTATTTCATTGCTGCGTATGACCAAAAATCCTCACCTTCTGAAAGTACCATGTTGTGGCAGACGTCATTTCCGGGTGAACTAAGTTGGCATTGTTTGACTTATTCAATAGAATTTATGACATGCTAGCAGTAAATCATTCAAATATAGCAGCATAACAATATCAGAAAAACAATATATTGTTCTGCACAGCATTTGTTTGTGTCTAAGGAAACGCATGGTTCTGTAATTTTACTTTGAAATTTTTACCACTGCCAAAAATGGTTGCTTCAAACCAAACTGGCCGACTTCCTGCTCAATTTTACAAAGTTTTTCATGCGTGCCGTTATGATAGAGATGTCCACCCAGTTTTGTGTTGATTGGTAAAACGGCTGTTGGGGGTAAATTGTTCTTAATTTTTTTCTTTTTTTTTTACTTTTTCCTCAAGAGTTGGTGACAACGTGTTCCCAAATCCAAAAACAGATCAAATTTGACTCGGGGACACATCTGAAAGAAATGGTGATTCATTACAAGCTCCATTGGCCACAATTTAAAGGGATGATGTGTGAGTTTTCTCAACAAACCTCAATGCAGAAGCCGTTTTCCTGTGCTGCGCTGCCTCTTCGGCATTTTGAAGCAGCGCACTTGACTGGACGTCCAGCTTCTGCTCCATGTCCCGCTTGCTGTCTTTTAGCACGAAGAGCTGCGAACGCAGCTCTAAGTTCTCCCGTTCCAGCTTCACACCAAAAAGTCAAAAGCATTTCATTTTTTCCCCTTCTTTTAAATAGAATGTGCGGTAAAGTTAGAAACGGAGGCATTCATGTTATTCAGGGTTCTTATCCAAGACAGTGGAGACTTCAAACTAGAGTTTGGCAAACATGGAAAAACAATGCGTCACATGGGAAAATAATGATCCGGGCTTACAATGTGAATGCCATTCTGCATGTCGAGTATCCGCTTTTCTTGCCCATGTCCATTTGGAAGAGCCGATGTCTGGCCAACCTAATGAAGAAGAAGAAAGTGGAAAAAAAAATGCTCATATTTGTCCAGATTGTCAGCATGGGTTCTTTTCCGCGACAGTTTGAAGAACTGCCGTTGACCAATCAAATGACAGCGATGTCACAGACTTGCAGGCGTGCCTTCGAGAACCAGATTAGAAGAGGCTCTGAGGAACGTTCCATTGTAAGCGCATGCCTCTTCGAAAAAGTGGAATGGAAAAGCAAACGCACAGGGTGGGAACCACGCTGTTTCAGAGTCAAACCGGGGGGGGGGCTTGTGCGTGTAGGAGAGCTGAACCGACAAAAGCAAACTCACCTGAAATTCCTCCATCAGCAAGTCTCGCTCTGCCTTAACCTGCAGGATTTTACTTTCTGCCAGCCTCAGTTCCTCTTTCAGGTTCAAGACGTCATCGGACGTGCTTGAGCTTTGACGGGCGTCCTTCAGCTGCTCTTGCGCCTGAATAAAGAAAAGCTGTTAGAAGCCCATCTCTCCCCCCACCCAAAAAAAGAAACGTAGGGATGGAGAGGTGTTGGATGAGGCTATTCACCTGGTAAAACATAACTTTGAAGTGGTCTCTCTCAGAAGTGAGAGCTTTCACGTTGGTCTGGATGTCCTCCATGCGCACCTCCACATCCTGCAGAGCCGCCTTCAGCTCGTCTCGCTCCTTCCCCAAAGTGAGCAAGTCTGACTCGGCAACGCCTCCCTGCGCAGTGTCAACAAGCTCAAAATTTGACGGCGGTGCCCCCCGCCCCGTCCATCGGTGGGCATATGGTCCACACCCACCCATTATATGTTAAAATTCCCAATATCGAGACCATATAAAAACATTTTTACTCCTCCTCCACATTAGGGCTATGCAATGAATTGAAATTCAATTACACTCAATGACTACAAAATTGACATAACCGTTAAAAACTGTATTTGTAAATCATCTTACGGCCTACTAATACCCTGATTACCTTGCCCGCCGGACTCCTGCTCCGGACCGGACTACGAGCGGGGCTGCCGGCTCCCCGGACTCGTCT